ATCATCCACTCACAGCGCCCCCTGGTGTAACAGAGGAGAACTACCCCACAGAGTTTCCTAGGCTATCATCTATTGTGTCACTATATTCTCATATATACTCTTATAGATCATCCACTCACAGCACCCCCTGGTGTAACAGAGGAGAATTGCCCCACAGGGTTTCCTAGGCTGTCATCTATTGTGTCATTATATACTTGTATGTTGTTGTTGTTAAGTGCCATCCAGTTGATTCTGATACATAGTAACCCAGTATAGGGTTTCCAAGAAGCAGCTGGTGAGTTTGAACTGCCAACCTTGTGGTCAGCGGAGCAGTGCTGATCCTACAGCACCACACCAGGGGTCTTGTTCCGATTCATAGAGATCCTGTATAGGGTTTCCAAAACAATAAATCTTTACAGGAGCAGAAAGCTTTCTCCTTATCTTTCTCCTGTAGAGTGGCTGGTAGAATTGAACTGCTTACATGCGGTTAGCAGCCCAACTTGTAATCAAATATGCTACCAGAGCTCCTTTAAAACCCTATTGTTGTTGTCATTGTTAAGTGCCGCTGAGTCAGTTTTGACTCATAGTGACCCTGTGTAGAGTTTCCGAGGAGCAGCTGGTGGGTTTGAACTGCCAACCTTGTGGTTTCCAGTCCAGTGCTGATCTTACAGCGCCACACCAGGAATCCATTCAAATTTTATTAGTACTTAGTTAATACTGTCATTATTATTATTGCCTGCATAAAACCCCGAAGTAGACAAAGACGATTCAAAGTTACAAGAAGGTCAAAAAAAAGATGCTGAAACTCAGCTTCAGCCACCAAGCCAATGAGGGAAGGTGAATTTCTGTGCTATGGTAGCTCTGCCAAGAACATCAGTGTGCAAAAAGAGGACCCAAGCTGGGGGATTGCCATCTCATCTTAAAAGGCTACAAAACCAAACATAGCGGAGACTTCCATCTACACCCAGTTTGAGACGGTGGTCCCCAAATTTAGGAGCACGCTAGTTAGAATCATCAAAGAAGCACTCACAGCAATGAAATCCGAATCCCTAGGGGTGGGTGGAGGTGTAAGGGGACCAGGCAGGCAGTGGTACTTTTGTTTAAAGCTCCTTAGGGATTTTAAGTATGAAGCAAGATTGAGGATGGCTGCCTTGGAGGACAGAAGTTACCTTGATAAACATTTGAATGTCTTCTTTCTGAGTTAACCACAAGGAGGGAAGAAGGGATGGAGTGGAAAGGGGATAAAGTCAGAGAGGAGGGAGGTGGGTGCTCCGGACACCACTCTCCTTTGCTTCTGCTCCAGGAAGGGCTGAGGGGCATCTGGGAGGAGCCTTACCCTGGACTTTGTGGTCGTGGTCATCCTGCAAGATTGTGATGGTGACCGTGTGGTTGTTTTCCATCTCTAGGAGGGCAGCCTCATGGCTGGCGGTGATGTCTTCCACCTGGAAGAGAGCCACAGTTAATGGTGTGCAGGGACCTGGCCTGAGGCTCGAGGCTCAGAGCATCCTACCTACAACTGTTCCCTTGGTTTGTAAATCTACCTGCTGACTGGACGGAGCCTGGGACCAAGGCTGGGGGGGCCAAGGTTTGGTAACAAAGTGGCAGAGTGTGTGTGAGTGTGAGTGTGCGCGCTACAACCAGGTTGTTTGCCATGTGAATGGGTGGATGGTGGCCACTGGATCACTTTCTGACAGTTAGGGCCTGGCTGCTGAACTCCCACTCTCATCCTTTCCCCATTGAGCTGGTTCGGACTCACAGTGACCCCTATAGGACAGGGTGGAACTGCTCCAGAGGGCTTCCAAAGCTTTATGGAAACAGACTGCCACATGGTTCCCCCGAGAAGCAGCTGGTGGTTTCAAATCTCCAATCTTGCAGCTAGTAGCCCAATGTGTAACCCACAGACAGCGCTACCAGATCTCCTTGGGATGGGAGCCTCTTAACCCATCAAGCAACCTTCTGTAGTAGATAATTTTAATCTACATTTTACCCATGATGGACTGGTAGTTTAGAGAGGCTTGAAATGTATGGCCCAAGCCTCAGTAAACGACAGAGCCAAGGGGGTCGCTCCCACCTGTATCTGATTCCAAAGGTAAAGCCCTCTCAAACCAACCTCCCAGAGCTCACAGGAGGACCAGCTTTCAACACCTCAACATTCCCTCTAGACTGGAACTGGACCTCCAGCCACTCAATGGGGCATTCCTGGTGAAGATCTACCATCTAAGTGCTGGGCTGGGGCCTGGCCCCGTCTGAATTTCCAGTGGTAGGGTTATCAACTACAGAGACATCCCCTCCCCCTGTAACTGTCCCTGGCCAGAAAGGCCTGTCTGGGAGATTACTAATGACTAGTGCATTGTCTAGGATCTTCCATGTTTATGTGTCCTGCTTTCTGCTCCCACAAAGATTTAGAGTGCCGGAAACCCAATACACGGTCACCATGCATCAGAACAGACTCAATGGCACTTAACAACAACAGCCTGATTTACAGTTTCTGTTGGTTGAGGTGGTGGCGAATTTCTACTTGTATGACTAGACCTAGAGGAATAACCATGTAAAATTATCTATCCCTGAGGCACAGTGGGTTAAGCTAAACTCACCAGGGGGAAAATGAGACTGTTTGCTCCCATAAAGATGAACAATCTGGGAAACCTTCAGCAGTTTTCTCTGTCCTATATAGGTCACCAGGGTGGCATTGGGTTTTGTTTTTTTTTGACAAACCGCAGCATTGCTCTTCCAACTTCTTCATCAATGACCCATTGTAAAGAAACATACCATTTTACACTGTGACAAAGTCCACACACACATACACATGTAAAGCACACACATCGTTGCTACTGTTAAGTGTTGTCGAGTCAGTTCTAACAGTGACCCTGTATAGGGTTTCCAAAGAGCAGCTGGTGGGTTTGAACTGCCAACCTCATGGTCAGCAGCCAAATGTTCATCCTACAGCACCATACCAGAACTCCTAAGCACACACATGAAAACATACAGATACACATAAACACACACAGGTGCACACAAACACCCCCCTGAAACCAAAGTCTCACCAACCATACTTAACCCTTACTACCGGCCATGATCTGAATTGAAATTTGACATTGTTTTGCCTTGTCTTACAAGCCACTTAATCTACAAATTCAGTTAAAACTTGCGATTTTCAGAACACTGACCCACACACTAAGTCCAGGGCCTGCAGCTCTAAGAGGAGGTCCTTTGGGGGTGCTAGTTGGTCTTACTCAGCCCCTTGAGGGACCCCTCATTTCTCTGGGGACGATTCACTGTGTGGCTGAAGGTGGCTGTGATCTGGAAGGAGGGAGGGCACCCCCCAGGACACAGGAAGGAAGATCCCTATGAAGTGGATGTAAGGTCGGTTTCATTTTCAATGGGGTGGATTCCTACTGGGAGCTCTGTTGCTTCAACTGCTACTAGCTTGGCTGCTAACCGGAAGGCAACCTAGTCACGTGCTCCTATAAAGACCACAGGTGTCTTCTGGCTTGTTGTTGTTGTTGTCATGTGCCGTGGAGTTGGTTCCGAATCACTGCGACCCTTCACAGGATTTCCGAGACTGTAAATCTTTACAGGAGCAGAAAGCCTCATCTTTCTCCTGCGGAACAGCTGGTAGTTTTGAACTGCTGACCGTGAAGTTCACAGCCTGATTCGTAACCACTACGCTAAGGAACCATAAACTTAAAGATGGCAGCCTAGGGCACCCTATAGCACAGTTCCACTCTGTCCCATAAGGGAATTTTGAGTTAGAATTGTCTCAATGGAAGCAGGTTTGGTTGAAATATTGTGTGTGTGTGTGTGTGTGTGTGTTGTTTGGATTGGAGTTCTCATGTGGCGCTGCGGGTTGATGCGCTGGACTGCAAGGTTGGTGGTTCAAGTTCACTTACAACAATAACAAACTATTGTTTGGTTTAAGGAGCCTTGGTAGCACAGTGGTTAAGCACTGGACTGTTAACCGAAAGACTGATGTTCAAATCCACCCAACGCCTCCATGGCAGGCAGGTGAGGCAGTCGGGCCCGTAAAGACGACAGCTTTGGAAATCCCACAGGGCAGTTCTATTCTGTCCTACAGGGTCACTAGAGCTGGAATTCACTCAGTGGTCACTAGAGCTGGAATTCACTCAGTGGTACAGAACACCAACACCAGATTGCCATTCATGGGCATTATTGCCTGGTGTCTCCGTCCTATGACACAAGACTTTCATTAAGTAAACAGAAACATCATTAGGAGAAACCGTTTGCAAAAATGGCCACTTGCAATGGTTCCCTTTTATCTTCTGGCCATTCCTGATTGTGATTGCTGTTGCAAAGTGCCGTCGTCGAGTTGGTTCTGACTCGTAGCCACCCTGTATAGGGTTTCTGAGGAGCAGCTGGTGAGTTTGAACCGCCCGCCTTGTGGCTAGCCGTCCAGTGCTGATCCTACACAGCTTTGGGGCAGTTCTACTCGGTCCTAACAGGCTGTTATGAATCGGAATGGACCCAACAACAACTTTTTGTTGTCTGATAACTTCCTAGCGTTGCAATGGTTAAGTTCTCGGCTGCTAACGAAAAGCCGCTACTGAGACGAAAGATGGCGTAATCTACTTTGTAAAGATTGCTGCTGTGAAGCGCCGTAGTTCTGACTCATAACCACCCTGTATAGGGTCTCCGAGGCTATAAATCTTCGTGGAAGCAGAAAGCTTCACTTTCTCTCGCAGAGTGGCTGGTGTCTCAAACCGATGACCTTCCAGTTCACAGTCCAGGGCTTATCCTACAGAGTAGTGTAGGGTAAAACCACAACACTGGAAACCCTAGGAAGCAGTCTGTTCAATCCTATAGGCCGCCACGGATCGAAATCGACTCATTGGCAACATGTTTTTCTTCTTGGTGGTGCAATGTTTATGCGCTCGAAGGTTAACCAAAAGATTTGCAGTTTGAATCTACCTAGTGGCTTTTCGGGAGGAAGACTTGGCCATCGATTCCTATAAAGATGGCCGTCTGGGAAACGCTGTGGGGCAGTTCTCAGGGGTCACTATGAATTGAAATCTACTCCATGGCACCCAACAAGGAGAGCTGTCAGCTTGAGAGCCCCCAGAACACTTCCATGACAAGTTAGGGGGTTCAGACAAGTTGAGCCAAGAGGAACACAAGGTCATTTGAAGTATGGCAGCACCCTATTTCAGACTCAGGGTGGTTCTCCTCTTAATAGCCCCACCCTGCTGTCCCCCACCCTGTGCAGGGCTGTAGGGGGGCGAGGTCAAGCCAGACTTCTGGGAAAGCAGCTGGGCCTTCTGCAAGAGGCCTCTCCCCAGCTACTGGAGACTCCGGCTGTTCCCCCTGTAATGTCCCCTCCTCCAGCTTCCGGACACGCCGGCTGTTCCCTCTGTAATGCCCCCCGCCCGCGGCTGCTGGAGACTCTGGCTGTTCCCCCTGTAATGGCCCCCTCCCCCAGCTGTTGGAGACGCCGGCTGTTCCCTCTAAATCGCCCCCCTCCCGTGGCTGCTGGAGGTTCAGCTGGGCTGTCCGGCTGAGCACACTCATGCTTTCTGATGGGTACAAACAACCCTTCATTTAGCCACCTGGAATTCTGGGAATTCTCTCAGACTTACATTTAGAAGGAAGATGTATGTGGTTTACATTGCTCTGGCTTTACTCATTACACCCAAATCCGATTAACCTCACATTACCCCATCCCAGATGCAGCACCCCATTGGATGCTTCCTCTCCTCCTGTACGTTCTTCATGCCTTGCCTTTTAAACAAGGACTCTGTTTTCTTTCTGTCCCTGCGACCATACCTTTGATATCGATGATCATGCCAAGCTGCCAGTCCTACTCCATCCCCTCTGCAGCCCAAATGGATGGTGTGAACACTTAACACACTGGCTACTAACCCAAAAGTTGGAGGTTTGCATCCACCCAGAGGTGCCTCAGAAGAAATGCCTGGCAACCTCCTTTTGAAAAGTCAGGCATTGGACACCCCATGGAGCAGAGTTCTGGTCTGACACACATGGGGGCCCCAGGGGTTGTAGTTGAGTGGATGGCAGCTGGTATGGGCACATACAGCCCACCAAGGGGCAGGGCAGCTCCACCTACAGAGATTCTGAGGGCCCTGCAGGTCACGTTTCATGTGACTAGTGAGCGTGAGCGCGAGCTTTCTGGGGCGTGGAGCTTACAGTGCAGGGCGGTAGACAAGATGGTCTCTATTAACACTCATGTTCATCAGAAGGAATCCGGCTCACAGGGACCCTGTATCGCATTGCTGAGGCTGTGAATCTTTACGAGAGCAGACAGCCTCCTTTTTTCCCATGAAGTGGATGGTGGATTCGAACTGCTGATCTTGCAGTTAGTAAGATCAACTCTTAACCTGTTATGCCACTAGGGCTCCTTGGAAGTGTGCACAGGGACCATGACAAAACCATGACAGCATATGTAAAGGTCTTCTTATACAAGGAGCTCTCCGATGCTCGGGATGCTGTATGTTGACACCAGCAGATAATGTTAGCTGTGTCCTATCCGGTGTCCCCTAAAACCTCCTTGTGTACATGATACGATCTGGTTTTGCTGACCTCTTAGAAAAGTAAAGAGAACATAAGACGCTGATAGCAGAAGCTTTGTAAATTACAAAGTGATGTAATAGAAGAGATTTGAATGGTAACAGCCTGACTTCTTATAACAAAGTCTTCTGCTCTTTCTCCTGGATCTCTTAGGATTCAACCATCTGTGGGAGACGCTGCAGTCTGGGGTATCTAGATGGAAAAACCCCCTCAATGTCTATGGCAGCTAAGGGTCACTCAGAACTCATCTAAGTTGTTGAAGAATTAGAGAGCTCTCTCCACTCATGTCAATAACCCAGGCCGTATAATACACAGAAAGAGCTCTGGGGGGCGCAGTGAGTTGTGTTGCAACCACGAGGTTGGTGGTTCAAATCCACCAGCTGCTCCATATGGCAGTCTGCTTCTATAAACATTTACAGTCTCTGAAACTCTCTGGAGCAGTTCTTCTGTGCCCTTCAGGGTCATTATATGTCATAGCTGACTCAGCGACACAGTTTGGGTGCCCTGGTGGCACAATGGCTAAGCACCTGGCTGCTAATAAAAAAGATAGCTAGTTTGAACCCATCAACAGCTCCAAGGGAGACAAAACAAGACTGGTCTCTTCCTGTCAAGATGACAGTCTAGAAAACCCTATAGGGCTCTATGGGACCACATGGAATCGCTAAGAGTTGGAATCAACTTGATGGCATCACATGAGAAGTTGGGGATTCATACATCAGAGATTTGGGGATTTTGAGAGAATGGAAGAGATCGAGGCAGAGATAGGACTTCTATAAGTATGGCTGGCTCACTGTCCCATTTGTCTGGACTCTGGTCAGAGCTCACAGCTGCCTGGGGCAGGGGCAGACACACCCGGCTCCCGCCTGCTTCCATACTGACCGTCTCCCTGGAATTGCTGTTGTGATCTGGTGTTGAGCAGCCCCATGCTGCTTACTATGAGTGGTTGGAATCAGACTGTTGTGATCCATAGGTTCTTCACTCTGTGGACAACTGCCAGGCCTTTCTTCCTACTCTTTCATCTGGAAGTTCCACTGAAATCAGTTCAGTATCACAGTGACACATAAACCTCCACTGACAGACAGGTTTTGGCTGTGCACGAAGTTTGAACTGCAACCTGGCTCTCCTACATGGAAGGTGAGAGTTCTACCACGGAGCCTTCACTGCTTCCTACCTGGGAATAGGTCTCTCGTTATTTCATGATGGGTTGTCTACTTCCAGTAAAACTACTGCCCTTAAATCTGACCAAGCCACTCAACCCACTGCTGCTGGGTGGATTCCGACTCACAGTGACCCCACAAGGCTGAGTAGAAGTGCTCCCTGGGATTTCAGAGATGGTCAGTCTTTATGGGAGCAGATTGTCTCATCTTTCTCCCACAGAGCTGCTAGTGGGTTTGAATCACTGAGAGGTATTCATGCTTTCATTCAACAAATAAATACTGAGGACCCACTCTGCGCAGACATGCCTCCAGGTTCTAAAGCTACGCAACAAGTCCACAGACATGTGCGAGTAGGCTCAGTCCTGAGTTTTCGCTGTAATCTGGCAAATTATTTAACCTCTGCACCTCAATTTACTCATCTGTACAATGGGGATAATCATGATCCTTATCACATAGGAAAACTGTGAGGATTAAATGAATTAGTCCCTCCAAAGTCCTTAGAACAGTCCCTGGTACATAGCTAGTGCTAGATACAAATGAAGGCTTCAAAAAGTTGGTAGAAAAATTGAATTAAAAGACAATAGAATTTTTCCACAAACTTTCTGAATCCCTCTCATATATATATATTTGTTTATTATTATCTCTACCCTTAAGGGAAGGCTGGTGATGCAATGCTTTAGCACTTGGCTCTAACCTAAAGGTTGGTGGTTCAAATCCACTGGTTATTCTGTGGGAGAAAGACCTGTGGATCTGTTCCTACAAAGGTTACAGCCTGAAAAGATTGCCCTTTGGGGGCCAGTCTCCTCTTTAACATAGGTCACTGTGAGTCCAAATAAACCAGCAAGAGCAACCCTCATGGAACACACGTAACAAATAAGATATATATCATTGTCAAAAGCCTGCCAAAAGGTTTCACACTGAAATAGACATTCTTTGGTGGTTTTCAGAGGTAGGAGGGGATTGAGTGTGACCACCGCAACTTTAACGATTCGAATGGAAGCTTAGAAGGCAGTGAGTTTAAATCAATAGGGAAGCCCAGCTCAGAAAAGGAGAGCAAGAATGGGTATACAATTCTAAAAACAGAGTCTGTGTCAGTGAGTTGTACATACACAGATGGTTGAAATGGTGTGTGTTTTGCTGTGCATATTCTCAACAACAACATCAAAAGAAATTAAAAGAGCAAGAAAGGAAGGAAGCCCTCACGCACTGACAAGGTGACAGTTGGAGATAAGTCTTGAAGGGAGGGAAAGTGGGAGCCATGGAGTGTCTGGAGGGAGAGCATTCCCAGACCCGGAGCGATGGAGGCCTAAAGTGGCTGAAGGGGAGAAAGGAGGAGGAGAGAGGAAAAGAAGGTTGGCGGGCTAAGAGTGAACTTGAAAGAAAACCCACCTATGGAACAGACTGAACAAGGGCTTCTGGTTGAAGCAGCGGCTCCATGTCCACATGTGTGTCCCCACCCCAGTGGCATGGAACCTAGACTGACCTGCTCTTCATACTGACACCTGATCCTCAGCAGCTGACCCTGGTGCTCCTCCTGCAGACGTGCCCCCTCGGCCTCAAACTGCAGCTGCAGCCTGTCCTCCAGGGCCCGGAGCTCGGCCTGCTGCTGTCCTCGCAGACGCGCCACCTCCTCCTCGAACCGCTTCTCCAGTTCCTCCTTCTCCTTCTGCAGTTTCTCGCATTTTGCTGTGTTGAAGGCTGGGGGGAGACGGGAGCGGGCTTTGAAAACACTGGGTACAACTACAGCCAAACCCACTGCCACCGACCCTCACAGCAACCCTGTATGAGTCCCTGGGTGGAGCGACAGGAAAAGCTCTGGACTGCTGACCACAAGGTCGGCCATTCAAACCCATCAGCCGCTCCTCAGAAACCTTACACAGGGGCGCTATGAGTCAGAACAGACTCGACGGCACTTAACCACCACCACAACAGCAACAACAGGACTGATTAGAACTGCTTCTAAGGGTCCAAGACTACATCTTTCTCCTGTACAGTGACTGGTGGGTTTGAACCGACAACCTTACAGTTACCAGCCCAATGTATACATGGTGTTGCTGTTGTTAAGTGTCATCGAGTTGGTACCAATTCATAGTGACCCTACACACAACAGAACAAAACACTGCCCGGTCCTGGGTCAATGTATACATGGCTCCTAACAACAACAACAAAACCACTGGTTAACAAGCATCAAAAGGATTGATTTCATTTTTAATTAAAAGGTTATTATCATGATTACTGTGAATGATGTGAAGGTTTACGGAGCAGATACGGTTTCCACTCAACAATTCACACACATTTTGTTTCAGCTCACTGACTGCAGTCCCCACAATGTGACATCACTCATCCTGCTTCCTCCCTGGGCTGCCTGTTTCCATTCCTCCTCCTTCCCTAACTCTTCTGAGCTCTGTCCGTGGGTCAATGCTGCCCTTTTGATCTCAAATGACTGAATATTCTGAGATGTGCATGCTTCCCCAGTGTCTTTGTTTCCCTTAGAGACCTGGCTGGTTGAATGAAAATCAAGCCACAGGGGTGAGTTCATTTCTAGACCTGAAGGGGGACTAAGATAACATTCCACCAGTCTCTCTCCAAAGAGTAAGCCTGTATTTCTTACGATTTTGAGCTTTGTTCCATATTTTCCTACCACTCTACCCAGGACTTCCTGTTGTGATCCCTTTCAGAGTGGTTGGCTGTGGTGGCTGGGCACCATCTAGTTCTTCTGGTCTCAGGGTCGTGGAGACTGATGGTCGTATGATCATCAGTCGACTGGACAGATAGTTTCACGGGTCTTTGATTTTCATCACTCTTGGTTCCTCTTGCACCTTAGATGGCCATTTGTTCACGAACTTTTAAGACCCCTGTTGCTACTCAGCAAAGTAGAATGTAGAACATTGTTTTTGAGGACTGGCCTTGTCTCAAAAGGATTTCACCAAAGCAACGCTAACATCCATAGTTAGGTCATCAGAGTTAACTTAAACAGTGCGCCCGAGTTTATAAACTGTCTTCTTGTCTCTCTTGTTGACGTTGTTGTTGCTTCTTGGACTCATGGTGACCCCATGTAAAAAGAACAAAATGCTTCTCAGCGCTACATCCCCATGACCACTGTGACCCAAAGGATTGCCACTGGCTGATTTTCAAGAGCTCACCAAGCCATTCTTCCTAGTCTTAACTGAAAGGTCTGCTGAAACATGTTCAGGAACAGCACCCAAGCCTCCACGGACAATAGAGGGGTGTTAACCTGGGTCCCCTCATGGAAAGCATGCTACTATTATGTGCCGTGGAGTTGGCTCCAACTCATAGAAACCCTGTACAGGGTTTCCGAGGCTGTAAATCTTTATGGGAGCAGACAGCTTCATGCGGAGGGAGGTGTACTCACAGAAAACCCTTGAAGCTGAGAAGGTCCGAGCCTCAGAGAGTTCAAGCAACTTGTCCAAGGGCATTCAGTTACTTGGAGAGAGCCTGGGAATGTGAATGCGGGCTTCTGACTCAAACCCAAAACTGCCCAGAGGTATCAAAGCCTAGGTATGTGCTGAAAACACAGAGTCCTTGGCCCACCCTAGGTGAATCATGGCCCCTGACGCAGGAGCCCTGGGTCTGATTTTTTTTCTCCTAACAATGTTTTATTGCTATTTTTGGGGAAGGTTTACACAGCAGTCTAGTCTTCCATTCAACCATTTCTACACCAGTTGTTTAGTGACGTTGATTGCATTCTTCACAATGCTTGAGTGAATAGTCTCATAATTTCCATTCTGGTTGTTCTCCTTAAATTCATCTAGTTTCCCTGCCCCCCCTCTCATTTTTGTTGTAAAGTCATTGACTGTTTGGTCTCATGGAGCACAGGTCTCACCAGGAATAGCCTTCGTTTTGTAAGTCAATCTGTTACTTAGCTATTACCACAGAGGCTAGTTTCTATCCATGGTTTAAAGAGTATTTCAGAGCAGCAGTCTCCGGGAGTCCTCCAGTAAATCTATTTTACTCAGAGATAGAAGTAAATGTTTAAGGCAATTGACATTAATTGGATTAGAAAAAATTAGTACTGTGATTAGCAGAAACGTGTCTCTTAACACCCGTACGCTGACCCACGGCTATTGCATAGCCTCTCATTTATAGCAATCCTAGAGGACAGAATAAAACTACCCCACAGGGTTTCCGAGAATGTAAATCTTTACAGGAGCAGACAGCCTCATCTTTCCCCTGTAGAGCTGCTGGTGGGTTTGAACCACCAACTTTGAAGCTTACAGCAGCCCAACGCTTAACTCACTGTACCACCTGGGCTCTTATCTAAGGTGGGCAAATGTATAAAGACCAAAGCTGATGTGTGGTCATCGGGAGTGGGAGGGGAGCTCCTGAGGGTCGCAGATGGTTACTGTGCTTGGTGATTCCAGTCTACCCAGAGGCATCCAGAAGAAAGGTCTGGCAATCTTCTTTCAAAAAAAAATTCAACCACTGAGAACTCTGTGAAGTGCAGTTCTGTGCTGATCCACGTGAGGGCACCACAGGCCAGAATTGACTGGCTAGCTACTCCTTTCTAGGTAAGAGAGAAGGAGGATCCTAAGAAGGATTGCTTAGGAGGCTCTGAACTTGGGTGAAGCATGTAGGAGGTATTTAGAACTCAGTGGTGAGTGTTACATGCTATGAGGAACATCATTAATTAAATGATGTTGAATTGCTAAATGTTTTGTTAAATCAACAAATATAAATATACTTCTTAAAAGGGCTTCAAAAAGTTCTGTGGAAAAATTTGAATTAAAAGACAATGGATTTTTTCCCACAAACTTTTTGAAGCCCCTCATCAACACACGCACTAAACATTCTGAGTCATTGTAACCTAAAAAAGTCTGTCTTTTGCTCATAGCTAAAGTTCTGATGTGGTGCTATAAGATAAAGTTCAAACCCATCATCTGCTCCTCAGAAACCTGATTCAGGGTCTCTATGGGTCGGAACTGACTCGATGGCACTTAACAATGTGGCACTGAAGAATAATGCGCTGGATTGCAAGGCCAGTAGTTCAAACCCACCAGCCGCTCCCCGGAAACCCTATACGGGGTTGCTATGGGTCGGAATCGACTCAATGGCACTTAACAACAATACCAGGAGCACTCAGTGAAGGTGTGTGGAGCTGGAGCTCTGGAGTAGAGGGAAACCTGAAAGGCAACACAGAAATCCAGAGGAGGAGAGTCCTCACTTGTACCCATCGTACAAGTGAGGAGAGGAAGAATAAATCAGAGACAAAACCCCCAAATCTAGACTAAGTGGGGAGTCACGTGGTGATGGGTGGCTTATGTGTCAAACTGGCTGCTGACAAACCTAGACAGAGCTGTGAGGTGTTCTGCTGAACCCAGTGTTCTGGAACACAGTGGCTTCAAACGATAAGCACTGGATTGTGAACCACAAGGTGCACGGTTCGAGCCCACCAGCCACTCTGTGGGAGAAAGATGAGGCTTTCTGCTCAGTGAAGAATGAAATCTTAGGAAACCCCATACCAGGGTTGCTATGAGTCAGAACCAACTCGACAGCACTTTACAAAAACACAACACTGTGAGTCAAAGTGATGGCCCTTTATAATGTGGGTGGGGTGGGGTGGGGGCCTCCAGAGCAAACCCAGAGGTTATCCAGAGAAAAACAAACTATCTCAAGACTGTACCATACAATGGTGGTGGCCTTGGTGGTTGGATACCACCAAGTGGGTTCCCACTGGTAGATTTGAACTGCCGACCTCGCAGTTAGTAGCCTAGCTCGTTATCCTCTACACTACCAGGGGATTTCAAAAAAGCACATGGGAAAATGAATGAAAAGATAATGGGAGTTTTCCTTGAAATTATTGACACCTGTCATTTCCAGTGTACCTGTCCTCACAGGAGCAAGAGCCAAACCCTTAAAATAAGTCTCTCTGCTCTTGTGGTGAGCTGTTGATTCAACTTGGCTTCATGGCGCCCCCTGTGTGTAACAAAGGAAACTGCTCTGTAGGGCCTTCTTGGCTGACATCTGCAGGTGGGTTTGAAACTGCCAGTTTTACTGATGAGCAGTCCAGTGTTTATCCCACAGCGCCACACCAAGGTTTCAAAACATTTCTGGGAAAATGAAGTGAAAAGACAATGGAACCTTTTCCCACACACTTTTTGGAGCCCCCTAGGATACAAAATCTGTTGGTTCTATTTTCTGGAGGACCCCAATATTTGTCCCTTCCCAGGAAGGCAGGAGGAACTTGACGTGCCATCCTAAAACCAAAAACAGCAACAACAAACTGACTCCGTGACCCCGAATAGGGTTTGAACTGCTGACTTTGAGATTTGAGGCCCAATACTTAGTCCATAAAGCTATACCACCAGTATTTTAAATACCAGCAGGGGCACCCATGGTGGACAGGTTTCAGATGAGCTTCCAGAGGAAGACAGACTAGGAAGAAAGAGTGGTGAACTATTTCCAAATAGTTAGTCACTGAAAACCTTATGAATAGCAGAGAAACACTGTCAGATATAATGCCGGAAAATGAG